CAAATACTTCCTCCTCTCTGTGTTTATCTATGATGCTGTGTGTATTTTCAGTTATATGCCTGCAACCTGGCACAATCGGAGGCTTTGAGGCAGACTCGCCCGTTTTGTCCTCCCCATCCAATCATCCCTTCATAGATATGGTGGATGGCTGTACCTCTCCTGTCTCCGTCTTGAGTGCATGGAAAAACGGTTTGTGTCCATTCATATATCAGTAATCTGAGTTGATGATTATTTCCCGATCCCAATTTTTTGAGGAAGTGATGATATAATGAAATAGATGAAGTGGGTTCCCTTTTCCTCCGATACATAGATCCTATTGTGGGTTCTGTGAATTGTTGTTTGGTGTTTTTTCTGCCTCAGTAGCAAAAATGGAGACTAAAACGAACTATTAATTGTTCATTGTTCTGAATAATATAGACATAATGCTACACATTCTGCAGAACTTGTCAAAGGTTATAATTGGATGTGGGATATTCAAAAAGTATTATGGCACAAGGTTGAGCTTACAAGACTATCTGTAGATAAAAAAATTGGAATATCACAAAACCATATGTATGTATATAGAATTCAAACAAGAAAATATCTTCAAATATCTCAAATCTAAGAATGTAGACATTATGTATTAGAGATAAAAGTAATTGCCCGAGTTTGATTGAATCAGCCCTTCTATGTTTAATTTAATTATTTTATTACAGGCAGTCAAGTTACCACAAGTTATTTGTACACTGGGTGCTTGTTTGTGTCTAAGTAACATTTGTTCAGCCATGCCGTGTGCCGTTCTGTTTTTGTGGATTTCCAATGGTTGTCAGGGAGGTTGTCCTCTGAACCATCCAATGTAGTGCATCTGTCATACTAAAGGAAGAAGGCTGAGGCTCGTAACCACTGAATATTGTGTCTGTGTACCTTCAGATAATGATCTGATGCAGTGTTTCCTGATGTCTTACAGGATCACAGATGGACCTGTCTCCGCTGGCGGAGCTCCCTGAGTTAACTCGACATGCCTTATTCAAGACGCTCCAAGAGACAATGACGGACAGAGCTGCTCTGTCATTTCTGCAGTGTGTGGTGAGTGAAGCAATAGCATGAACTAACTCAAAGGGAAATACTTCTAAAAACACAATTTATTCATTCCTAGACAGTTACACTGAGGCTAGAATAATTCCCCTTGCATACCACATTTCCTCTGTTGCACATTATCTGTTTTCTACATCATCCTTATCCTCTGTCTGTTAGCTGGAGGAGTTGTGCAGTGGTGAAACGCTCGATACGGCTGAGCACGAGGAGCAAGACAACCACTCAGAGAGCGGTCATTCGGCTGATGCTGCACACCTGAACGCAGCTCACCTGTTTGTCAGTGCTATGGAAGGTGAGCGGTAACTCCCAACCTTGAGGGATGTAAAAACAATGTTTTCGCTATTAGGGAAGTAACTAAACGTAGTCAATCATTTTCTGCACTTTGGATTGTTCTTGCAGAGTTGCCGGATGAAACACTGAGACTCTTGAGTGAGAGCCGGGCTGATTTTCTCTGGGCCTTTGACAAACTGGTTTGTTAACCTGTGTTATTTATTGCTTTAAATTGTTTGCTGTTAGTGAGTTTAAAATTATTACATGACTCAGAGCAAGTTATTAAAGAAAAAGTGTTATTAAATTTAAACATTTTAATGAAAATCTCCTTTCCAATTAATTGTTTTAATCTATTTTTAAGGAAACATTTAGTATTTTAAAGAATATGTTGATTTATTTGGGGGAATATCGATATCGGCTTTCTTGTTGAGGGTTTGGTGAGAAGAATGATGTCACGCTTCATTTACAGTGTCTTCTTCTTCTTCTCTGCTCGGCCCACTGCTCAGAGTGTGCATTTTGACCTCTTGTATTTGCTCTAGGAATGTAACCACCTGCTATTGACCAAAAAAAAAAGGCCTGAGAAAGCTTTCAACTAACACCTTTGCATCAAAAAGCTTCCATCTGTCCATCTGCCTGTTTTATCAGATGTGCAGTGTGAAGGAGAGCAGTGGACCTCTCCCCATCCAGTGTCTTCCCGTCCTGCTGCAGGACAACCAAGCTTTCCAACTGGCCAAGCAGCTGCTCAGCTCCACCAACTTGACGCTGATGAGAAACATCGACAGCCTGTGGACAGAGGGGGGAGACAACGCCGGAGTCCTCCCTCTGCTCCTCTGCCTCAGCGCTAATGGATTGTCCCTTCTGTGCAATGGGCTGAAGTAGTGCTGTGTTTTTCTTTTTCTTGGACTATATTCCGTCCATTTCTTTCTTTCTTTGTAAAGTTTATAAAGTGTAAGCTTACTATAGTATATTGCGTGACATCTTTATATCATTGCGAGTAATGTTTATATCGATATGTCTTAATATTTTTTCAAGTAATATACAGGAAATATATATTTATTACGTAAAGCAAGCGGTGACATTTTTATACACATAATATATATACATGTTTTATAATAGATCAGGAGCATGAGATAATATAGACATTTTTCTACAAATTTGTATTATTCTGTTTGAATCCAGTTGAATGAGGCTGCATATTATCACTGCAACTGCTTATAGTCATCATTAATCATTTTTACTGAGCTAATTGTATTAAACAGAAATGTAGCATAATTATATTCCTTTAAATACCGTCATTGAATGTTAAGAAACTGTAAGCTATATTGCTAAAAGGAAGAACTCCTGTTTTTAAATCCATATTATTTATTTGCACACTGACAATGACAATCTGCAGAAGACTTTCTTCTGTCATTTAAAATTGTTGTTTATTTTTGTGTGGGGAAGCTGTACTTTAACCCATATCAATACATTGTAATATTAGCCATTAAAAAAAAATTCTCTGCATTCAAGCTTTTTATCACTTCATTGTAATTGTCAAATAAAGTATATAAAAAATTAAAAACTCTTCTCATCTTTATTTCAAGTGTCAGTCTCTGCCCCTGAATTAGCCATGCTGGATGTCCAGCTGACAATGGGACAACATTTCAGGCAAATTTAGAAATTAATAATATTTTCCCAAACTCCAACTCACAGGTGATACATTTGTTAGAATCTAGAAGCACTTTACAAACTCAGAGCAAAAACTACCACTGAATTTCATCATATTTTGTGTTTTAGTGTATTTTTAAGCACTAGGCATCCTATTCAATTTGCACACGTTTTTAATGCATTTCATTTTATTCTGTATTTATTCTGTTTTATATCCACAGATGCATCTACTGTTTTTATGGGGATGAATGTGTGTGTTTGTGTGGATATTAACTCGTGTATGCTCTTCTATGTAAAAAAAAAGAAAAAAGAATTGAACTTGTTGCACATGTTTGTACTGCTAGAACACAAGGATTTCCCCTCGGGGATGAATAAAGTATATCTATCTATCTATCTATCTATCTATCTATCTATCTATCTATCTATCTATCTATCTATCTATCTATCTATCTATCTATCTATCTATCTATCTATNATCTATCTATCTATCTATCTATCTATCTATCTATCTATCTATCTATCTATCTATCTATCTATCTATCTATCTATCTATCTATCTATCTATCTATCCAACTCTCTATCAACTCGCCGCATGAGGTCGCTGTTGTTACTGTCAGGTCGTGACGTCAATCTGCTGCGACCCTGGCGTGTGCCTCCTTCTCGTGCGTTGAGTCGCACAATAACACTGTGGCGGGCCAAGAGTGAAAGAGTCAACACTTGGTGAAAATGACGATTTGTAACTTTTTCCTTCAGGGCCGCTGTCGTTACGGCGATAACTGTTGGAATGAACATCCGAGGGGAGGAAGCAGAGGAGGTGGAGGAGGTGGTGGTGGWGGWGGAGGAGGTGGAGGAGGAGGAGGAGGAGGAGGATACAACAACAACTACAGCCGCTCCTCTGGTCAGCAACAGCCCCGAGGAGGAGGTGGAGGTAAAACTAACGATGAAATGAGATTAGATTACTCCTACTGCAGTGACGTGTTTCTATAGCACATCTGTTGTGTGGAAACATTTCCCCTTCTGTTCCTCTGCTTTGTTTACTGTCATTTTGATTTCTCGGTTCCTAACCTTAGCGTGGGAACATTTAATGTGAATGTTAAACTTAAACCTCATCTTAAAATAAAAACACTGAGTGATAAACAGCCAGAACATTAAAAGTTTCCACACAAACGAACATCCCAACTGTCCAAGACTAGATCAGACCTTATAAACTGGAAACTTCAACTTGGTTTTGCAGCAAGACATTTATTTACAATAAAACAAACACAAGAGACACAGCAACAAATACAGAGGGGGGGAGGGGAGGTAGGCAAATCAAGTCACAGATTTGGGGGACAAATTCTCAGTTGACCTTACAAGTCAATCAAATATACACAATAACAACTAGAATAGGATGCAGATGAAGACACAACCTCCTTTGAAGGGATCAAAAGCACCAGACAGCTAAACACAATGAGATTTAAGAAATTATAATATATTGTAACACATAAGTGTGTCTGCTGTTAATCAACTCCCAAATATAATGTACAAAAGCTCTGTTGTGGTGCTGTTAAAACGGAGAAACAGAGGAGGAGTCCCTCCTTCACCGTGGACAATCATGCTACCAGTGTGGAGATGGAAGGGCTGCAGTTACAATATGAAGGAAAAGAATGACTGCGGTGGTTTATCATTTCCTTCACATTGTTTAACTTTGGCATTCGTGCATTTCAGGGTTCGGGAACAAAGTTTGGGTGAATCCTGCCCACCAGAAAGGAAGCTACATCCAGCCTTCATCCTTCTCGTCTCATGGAGGCGACGACTGGGGCCGAGGAGGTCGCGGGGGAACGGACTGGGGTAAAGGGGGAGGAGGAGGGGGGAATGACTGGAGCAGAGGAGGAGGCAGCGGCGGGAATGACTGGGGCAAAGGAGGAGGCGGCGGGGGGAATGACTGGGGCAAAGGAGGAGGCGGTGGGGGTAATGACTGGGGCAAAGGAGGAGGCGGTGGGGGGAATGACTGGGGCAAAGGAGGAGGCGGCGGGGGGAATGACTGGGGCCGAGGAGGAGGAGGGGGGAGAAGAGATAATGTAAAGAGCACCGAATTCAGCTTCTCTCAAAACAGATTTGCTGCGCTCGATAGTCCTAGTACCTTTAACAGGGGGGGAGGAGGAGGAGGAGGAGGAGGAGGAGGAACCGCTGTTGATGAAGATGATGACAAAAAACTGTAAGTCTACTTGTGTATGACTGAAGGTTCGTCCGTCTTTAGAAGTGAATTTAATGTGATGCCTGTGTCATGACCACACAGAGAGATCATTCAGATGGACATGGAGATCTGGGAGAGTTCGCGGCAGTGGTGCCTCTCGTGTTATTCTAACTCCAAGGCACCTTTATCTGGTCGGTATCGAATATTCGTGTAATCACATGATTTCTGATGTAATTTGTTACCAAAACTCCAGTTGTGCATGACATTTGATTTATATCAATCAACGAGAAATTGTATTTGTATTTTCTCCAGGTTTCACTGATCTCTCTCCAGAAGAGCTCAGGCTGGAGTACTACTCCACAAGAGCCTCGGGGGATCTGCAGAGCTATGTAAGTGAAGTGTTACGCATTAATGTCATTCCTCATGTCCTCAGTCCACTAAGAAAGTCAAGACAGTGCTCCAATATTATCTGTGAATTTAGTGGCGGAACGGTCTGCAAAAATCACAACTGACACAGCGATATTCAAGATCAGGTTGGATTCGGCTTTCTGCTTGGTTTATTACACTGTATGTGCCTGTAAAGCATCGGGCTCTGGTCGGGTTGGGACACAAAATATAGAATGCCCGTTGGGCTCGGTTAGTTTTCTCACTGCTCGATCGGGCTCATACAGATAATTGTGGCCCGAGCCACACTCTCGTTATTTCTTTGGCCGGTTCTGAATTGTTAGCTAGAGGCTACAAAGACACACAAATTGTTCCGAATGTGCAGTGGCTGCATTCATCAGTTACACAAGTGTGCTGAACCAAAAGGCCTATCCTGAACATTTTATACAAATACGTGCAGCATTACACCTGTGTTCAACTCTTGTCTTCTGTGTGAAAATGATTCCTTTCAATGGGGTTATTGTATTTCAGAATTTTTGTCACATGACCTTTGAATAATCTAGTGTTTGTACAAATGTGTTAAGTCTAACAAACACACGTTTCATGTGTTTAGCTGAACGGAGTCAATCAGCTGCTCAACCAGTGGAGAAGCAGAGTCCAGGAACTGAAGGTTATGAATCCAGCCACCCGCACTGCTTTGGTGAGACACAGACACAGACACACACATACAAACATACACGTACGTACACTCGCAGAACATGTTTTGATCTGAAGTATGTTTACTTACCCTGCAGCTTGCAGAGTTAAACAACCCAACATCTCCGGCATCTTCAAGTGGCTTTGGTTTAGCGACAGCGACTGGATTTGGATCCTCAACGTCTGATTTTGGAAGCAAAGGTGAAGAATAAGAATCGCTCAGTTTTTATAATTTAAAAGCAATTGTTCAACGTTTTAGAAAATACTCATATTTGAATTAAGCCCAGCGCATCAATGCGTTTATGACTTGAATTTATAGAATAAAATTCCTCAAACTAGCTTCTTATTGTCTTAAATCTCTCTGATGTAGGCTTTGGGGCTCCGGTGCAGGCCAGCAGTATAAGCTTTGCTGCTGCGGGCGGTGGGTTAGCTCCCTCTGCTGCACCATCATCCTCAGGTGGGTTCGGTAGTGCCATAGCAGCTCCGACACAACCGGCCCAAGGATTCGGCTCCTCCTCTGCTCCGTCAGCTTCAGCATTCTCCTTCGCTGCTCAGACCACCGACAAACCAGCAGCCGCTTCAGGATTTGGCGCCGCCTCTGGGTTCAGCTTCTCCTCCACAGCAAACACTGGAGGAGGATTTGGGAGCAGTTTCGGGACAGCATCATCCACTGCAGCAGGAGGCAGCAGCGCTTTTGGACAGATGAGCGGAGGGTTTGGGGCAGCCGCTGCTCCACCTACAGCAGGGGCCAGGCCTGCTGGCGCTGCATCGGACAGTCTGTTTTCACCTGAGAGCAATCTAACTCCGGAGGAACTGAATGAGTTCAAGGCCAAAAGGTTCACGCTCGGTCAGATTCCTTTAAAACCTCCTCCAGCTGACATGCTGGTAGTATGATATGTGGAGAAACTTCACAAAAAAGACATCAATTTATACATTTTCTCTACATAGAGCTTTTGTTAAATCCAAATAACTTAAATGGTTTTTGAATACAGGCAATGTACTAATTTAACAAAATCAACTCTTGCTTTGATTCCATTTAAGATTTAAGAAGTACAAAACATGTGCAGTCAACCGGATATATATTTTTGAAGTGTCTTCAGTCATAAAATACTATTGCAGGGGTAACAGGATGTGTTGAAATGTGTACTGTTGATGCTGTGAAGCAGTTTTAGCTTCTACCAGAAGAACAGTCAACAAAACATTAAATCATGGCAATAAACTTGCATGAAACTCTTGCAACACTTTGGATACGACGCCCTCTTATCTGCAAATGTACTTCACTAAATGCTTGTGAGAGAATTACAATCCGTCTACTAGGGGCGATGCAACACGGAAGGTGAAGCAGGCAATTGTGTGAGGCCCCAAATTTAGGGAGGGGCCGTGTGACTGATTTCTTGAGTCCACAGCAAAGAAAAACCCCTTAAACATGTTGATTCAATGTAGCGCCCCCGCAGGTCTTTTCCCCCAAAGTGTCTTGATACACTGCTGCCTTTTACTGACGTACGTAACCTTACATTAATGGAGTAGCTTTTGTAAATGTTGTAATTGCACCTCTCAGCCAGGTGAGGGCGCCAAGAGTATTTTATGCAAATAAAACAAAAACAAATGAAGTATAAATAACTGTACTTATGGACTAATTTGTAAAGAAGGGGTTTTCTAAGGATGACCAAATTACATATGTGAGGCAACATTGAAACTGAAACGTTCCGTGAGTTCTCAACCATCTGTCCACACCAGCTTGTAGGTCTTCATCCAGTGAAAGAGAGGAAAGTGTGAGTGCAAAATGATAATGAGCGAATGAGTTATTCAATACGTATTCATTAGGTGTTCACAGGGAGAGGAATACAGCGACAAAGAGATACCAATAAGCTATTCTACTGCTATAGGGGCCGCGGCTCTGCTGACGGGGGCATATTTTCAGCTGACAGTGAGTTTGTGAAATCAGCAAGAGGTGCAAGCGATTGTGTGTGTGTGTCTTAGTGCATATTTTTGAGTCAGATCATCTCAAGGTCCATTTTTCATGTCCCGGTTAGAAGCGCAGTGCACATAGCTAATACAATTGTACACATTCATACAACTGGAATCACAACACAACCACTGCCAACAACAGTTTGTAAAATCCTAATTTACCTTCTGCTGTACGTCCCACCCCCTAATGAGCAGATAATACATAAAGAGTTTAATTGATTAATGAATGATTAAAATACAGACTCATAAAAAGGGATAATTTCAGTAAAACATTTATAAATGTTGAATCCATCTATAGTGATTAACAGGAAATAAGCAGCAGCTCTAATCACCGACTGCTGCAGCATTAAATCTGCCTGTGTTTATGTTATGTGTTCTCGAGCTGCACTGATCAGAGCACATTCAAAGTGAGGGATGAGCCTTTAGACGCCTGCATACACACATACACACAGCTAAACAAAATGTTTTACATGCTCTGGAGTGCATTAAGACAATTAAATCATATTAAAGATATCTGATCTGTTGTGTTAAATAGGGAGAATTGTTTATTCGTGAATGCCGTTATTTCCTCCTCCCTACCTCCAGGGGACTGCTGGGTACTCACAGGGGGGAGAAATGACATTTGAGTTGAAACAGACACACACACACACACACACACACCTCTTTCATGTACTGTACACTTGTCTCCTTCCCGTCCCCAACCTGCCCCCCCTTCCTGTAAAATCACAAAATACACTGTAATTCAATAGACTCTGACCTGACTCCAGCCACATTCACCAGACACACGGTGTATAATGTGCTCTAATACATTTAACACACATTTCCATAGGGGGAAACAGGGCTGTCCATCTTGTTTATTCCCGATTTAGACCATGTACTGCAGCTGTGTATGTATGTCGAGCTGGGAGCGGATCAATCCTTTGAATTATAACTCCTGCCTGCAGCTATTGAAATTCCTCCTCCCTGATCAGCATTTTTTTTATGACACACTGCTTAAATGCACATTGTGTTCATTGCTACAACACGGCCATCGTGGTCACCAATCAGCTGATGACAGCAACAGATGCTCCTTTCACCGCTTCAACCCCACCACCCCCTCTCTCTGCAGAATGCCAATGAGCCGATTCGGATTCAGTGCCAGGTTTTAATGTTTGATGGGGGGGGGGGGGGGGGGGGGTTGCTGATTCCAGTCGACCCTCCTTACTGTTGCAACAGAGAAACCAGGCTTAGTAATTGGAACAATGACTCCCGCGGTAGAATTGATTGTGTTGGCCCACAGCGGCTCGCCTATGGGAAACAGAGCATTGATCCAAGGCTTCTGATTTGTGCCTATTTGAGTGGCTTGTTGCATGGGAGACTGAGTGGCACATATTTCACCTGGAAGGGTAAGGAGCTGGGTTTCTGGGCTGTGCGTTCATGGGTTCACATCAGGACCAGGGCACCGTGTTCGTCCTCTGACAGTAATAACATGCTGTGTTGGGTAAACATTGTCAGGGCAGAGAATATATGCACTGTGTTTGAGAGCAGACCAGGGTGAGGCCTGGATCATTTGAACTTAAGTGGCTCTAAGTGGCACTGAGAGGCTGGACAGAAAATCACGTTACATTGCATCCATTACATTCATTTTATCTGCGTGCAGAACCCGCTGCATGAGCAGAGGAGAAAGAAAGCGAGGAAGAAGTGTCTGTGCAAATGCATCAACCTGCAGAGGACTGTGTTTAAATGTAATTAATATATATATATTTTTTCAATTGCATTTTTGCATTGCCTTGCAGTGGTGACCAAGCAACAACCAACACAATGTAAGGTCTGTTTTTTCTTGATCAAGTTTTAAGTGTGATGTGTCTTATAGAAGACACATTTTAGAACATGAAACGAGAGAGTGAATATTATTTCCACACGATAGAAGTTGCCAACCACCAGTAGATATTAGCAATAACCAGCAGATGTTAGGGTCATTTCATCAGTTATACACTTTAGCGTTATTATGAGCTTCTGCCTTTAAATCACAAGACACCCTCTGCTAATGCAGGCCCACCACAGGCTGCTCAGACCTGGGTGTGTGTCCCTACGTCTTGGGGCCCAGTTGGGGTCTTTCCTCCTGATCCTAGAGTCATTGGCTGCAGCGTCCCTGACGCTACTTTCTTTATTACTATGGAAATATTGCAGAGACGTGTCAATGTGTTGTTTAAACAAATAAATACACACATTTTGTTTACAGTCTCCATTTTCCCACATTCTGAAAACACATGAGCGCACCAGAGTCGTAAAAAGGACTTCACAACTTTAACCGTAGCTGTTATATTTATCAGACGGTGAGAAACAGAGGGTTTCATGCATGAGCAAGAAGCCAAATCAGAGAACGCAGCCTCATTCCTCCATCTTTCCCAGACACAAAGAGGAGATGAGCTCTGCAGGATTTACGCATGTAAATCCTTGCCTCACATGGCCACACGTGGTCGCTGTTTGCCACACCGACTGACAACACCTAATACTCCCTCCGCTCCCCCCCCC